AAAAAAAAAAAAAAGAACATTCTGGAGATGTGGGCTATTAATCACATTGGGGTTTATGTCTCTCTTCAATGACGAGAGAGGCTGCCAGACAGAAAGGAACAAGTAGATTCTGAGTTGCTCCAGAGGAAGCAGAAGGACTCCGGGCAAAAGTCATAGAGACGCATGTTTGGGCCCAACACAATGAAGAGCTTTTGTTTATTTATTTGTGCGTTGTCGTTTTTTTTAAGTCTAAATTTTAGTTAGTTAACATACAGAGCAATGTCGGTTTCTGGAGTAGAACTCAGTGATTCATCACTTCCCTATGACACCAGTGAAGAGCTTTTAAATAATGAAGGCGACACGGCATGAAAAGGACCACCTTGCAAAGAGTGAGCCCCTTGCTGCCAGGACACACGTCAGGAGCAGGCTTGGCTGCTCCTTCCCTGGCACGCACCACGTCCTGGGGCCCCTCCAGTTCTCAGGGATCTCGTTTTTTGGAGCACTCTGGTTCAGAGAGCGAGATAAGGAGCCCCCAAGTCCTCAAACGATATCTTTCCTGGCTTTTCTGGTTTCTGTTCTTGAAAGCTGCTATGTGACAAGGCTGGGAGTGGCTCCCCGCTCTCTCCCAGGGGCCTGGGAAACAGGAATGGAAAGAAGAAGGTTTTTACTTTCTCTTACCAGACCTCCCCAACCCATCATGGTTCTTACATCTCACAATTCCCAATGACTTTGTTGGCATCTTACAATGAACTCTGAAATCTTTTTCCCAGATTACTTTTTCTGTATATCATTGTGGCTTTCACAGAACATCCTGGTAAACACTTTATTTAATGTGGTGGCAATCACCTAAGGCCCTAAAACACACCCGCAGCCTTTGGGGATGTTTTATAAATGCGTGGCTGGAGTTACAGGTAAGTGTGGGGACAGCATGCCTCTGGGGTCTGGTCATTTTGTGTTGTAAACAAAGGAGCAAGCGGGGAAACAGATTCATAGGGACAGTGGCTGGTTGTGGTTAGAAACAGGAGGATGGCAAAAGCAGGAACTCATGGCTAATGGCCCAGGGCATCTGTGTTTCATTTGGCACGAATGCATATCCATGTCTGGAGCTCCTTTGCACTTAAGAAAAATGCACATTTTATAAAATGTTGTGTGAGCTCAGAGGAATTGAGCTTGGGAAGAATTCTGATGGCTTACCCAGGGGTCACCTTTTGCATTTAAGCCACATGGGCACTGGGTCCTCTCTAGCTCCAGGGAAGTGACGTCGAGAAGTGTGGTCGACACCTCGGTTGTACCCACACCAGTCTTCTGCCTGTCCCCAAGGCCATCTTTGCCTCCCAGCTACCTGGTCACCTCCATCAGCCCCTCCCCTCCTGGCCTTCTGTGTAATGGGCTCACCTCTGAAATCTATGGGTGTGCCAGATCTTCTCGGTCACAGGTTTTCAGTAAGTGTCCCCAAGCGGAAGCATAGTAGTGCTCCGAGCAAGAGAACACCGTCCATGAGGAGGTGATGCCCGCTGTCAGGCATCTGAGGCCGGAATGCCCTGAGGAGGGGTATCCAGCCCTGCCGTAGCTTATCAAGGAGGGCACCCTCTTTTCTCGGGGAAATTAAAATTGGGCTGGATAGCCAGTTATCCAAAGTCCTGTGGTTGCACACATGCAAGCAGGGAATGAGGATCCCGAGGAGCCACCCCTTCCTCCTGGTGCACACCTGAGAGGTGCCCCCTGCAATTCCTACCCCCAGTGCCCGAGAGGAGAGAGTGCGGGGGACTGCCAGGGTGTGGGTGGTGTAGCCCTCGGGTCTACGGCTGGTGTTTGCTTTTTGTGTGACGTGCTTACCACACACTGCTTTAGTTTTAGAGAAATTGAACAATTCTTCCCAAAGAACGCTGCATTTGGTGGTTATCCTGTTCCTGGTCCTCAGCCTGTGCACTTCGCTGCTCAGCTCTGGGCTTACCTTCTACAACAGCATCAGCAGCCCCTATCAGACGTTCTTGGGGCCAGTGGGCGTGTACACCGGGAGTGGACTTGGTGGTGAGTATCCCCGGGGACACCGGGCACTCTGCTGACAAGCACGACCTCTGTGTCTCTGTCTCTCTGGTGCTCCGTCCCACGCAAGAACACACGCGATCCCAGGGGACCCGTGGAAATTAGGCAGACCTAGTATGTGCCCAGTTGTGTGCTGGGGCCCGGGGTTTATATCTGTAAACCTACAGAATTTATGAAGCATCTTGGAAATAAAATTGTTTTAAATGCCCTGGTAGAGAGACAAGGAGTGACATGTGGACAGGGTGTTAGCTGTTGAAATATGTAACATAAGCCAGTCTTTGCTATTGAGTATCAAACGTAAGGAGTTAAACACAATGCTCCTAAATGGACAAAACAGACTGTTGACAACAAAACTCCTGCTATGTGCTTAACTCCGAATTAGGTTCCATATAACGTACGGAAGTACACACACACACACACACACACGTGTGTGCACATGCATGCACACATTTGTGTACATACACAAACACACACATACACACATGTACACACACACGCACACACTTATTTACTCTCCTCACCTCCAAATAACAGTCAGTGTGGGCTAAAATCCAAACATGACACATCTGTATGACTGTCCCACAGAGGACCACAAAGAAGGTCATTTAGAGACTCTGGGGTCAACACCCTTCTTGTGGGTGACCTGTGAGCTCCCGGTGATTCTGTAGGGTGTGGCTAGGTCACTTTGTTTGTGTATTGTCAACGTTGGGGTCGGGGTGCAGCTCAGATGGGAAGCAGATCCCAGCTTTGGTCACAGTATGTGTGGCTCTCACTGGGGCTTCTCGAGGCTCGGCAGCCACTGCGAATGCCCAGGACGGCTGCCAGCCGGCCCATGCCGTCAGAACTCTGATTCCCTTCGGTGCTTGTCTCTTGATTTTCCCAACGCTCTCTCTGGTGTTAAGCAGCGAGCTGGTCCCCTTAGAGGCAGGATGGCTGCCAGCAACCTCAGGAGAAAGGACCTCTTTTCCCCCAAATCTGACTCTCCCTAAAATTTTCCTTCCCCACCCCTGGAGCAATCTCCATGGCCACCAGTGGAGTTGAACTCACCGGCTGCCCCACCCAATGTCTGGGATACCTGATCCCTTGGGGCTGGGGCTGGGGGCAGCTCCAAGAGGAAAATCAGGTGCCAGTTCCAAAGGAGGTTTGGATGTGGGGCCGCAGGGACAAGACGGGGACCACATCGCCATGCTACGGCCCATGGGGCTCAAAGCCCATTGCTTCATCAAGCCTGTTTCTGCAAGGTTGGTGTTTCCAGCTCTTTGTCTCCACAGTTGAGGATAAGCTGACTTTGCACCTGGCAGAGGCCATTGCGTGTTTGTGGAGGAAAACATGAAAAACACAGGGCCTGTGGCCTTCCCCTCAATCCCCGCCTACTTCTAACAACAAAGAATCCTCTGACAGGGAGAGAGCTCCTGCGGCATTCCTTTCCGGCTTGGGGCAAGTTCTAACACACAGAAGGGGCTGTCAGGTGGGCAGAGAAACAACCCGAGACATGGATGTGTAAGGAGGAGGTCTGCATTCTGGCAGGGGTCACAGGGAGATCTTTGTGGCTTTGGGCTTCACGTCCGGCCTCCTCTGAATGCCCCTCCTGGCCTCTTGATCCCAGTGCTCTGGGAAGCCAGACTTTGGCCCTGAGTTTGCCTCTGGGGACTCCCAATCTTCACATGAGCTTTGAATGTGCAGAACGTAGTGGAAACTCTAGGTGAGGCTCGGCCTGCAGAAGGCTTTTATGCACAAACATGCCATTGACATATCCTTGCTTTGGGTCATCTTGGCAGGAGACTTGGTCCCCTTGGTCTCTTGAGCCAGAGGGAAGTGCCGCGAATCCCCATTGAGGCTGGATTTGAACAAACTCCCCTTGGCTGCAAGGAAGAGGACCTGGGCTTCCTAGCGTGGTTTGTGGCTTGGAAGGAACAGGAGCAGATTCTGCTTGGAGGAAAACACAGCAGCATCGCAACCTCCCAGGCTCCTGTGCCCTCTGACCCCAGCCTGCCCTTCGCCCCCACAGCGGCCTGGCATGGCCCGACCCTGACCACAGGGGATATAACTGTGGACTGAGAGAATGTCGGGGCCTGACAGAACTTTGCAGATTGTTTGATCCTTAGCCCTGAAGCCCAGAGAGCAGAAAGTGATGGGGCAAGTCACATGGCCTGGTGGGGACAGGCCAGGTCTGGAGCTCCCCCTGCTACCACAGGGCCCCCTTCACCCCACTGCAAATCCCCTGCCTCAGAGAGCCGGGGACGCAGACAGGGAGCGGCAGCTCCTTCCTGTCGGGGCTCAGGTCTGCACATGTCAGCAGCGGCCCCTTCCCGATTCAAATCAAAGCCAAGCCCGTCCCACTGCAGAGAAAAGTGTGTGACCCTGTGTTCACCCTGCCTCTTTGTGACTAAGCTTTTATAAGAAATTTCACAAGGGCATAATGAAGGATAATTAGGGAGTGTGAGACGTGTAGAGCTTCAGAGGAGGGGGCTCTTGTATGTCCAAATTACTGAGAAGTAAAACCATCACGCTGAGCATGAAAGTCCATCATCAAGGACAGTCCAAGCATTCTCCTCACACAAAAGCCCTCGAGTCAGGGCCTTTGGAGGACTGGGAAAAGTTTCTGGGTGTGGGCTACGGCCAGGACACGTTGACCCCAGAACGTCTGTCTAGTTGTGGGTAAATATTCTCAGAGATGGGCAACCATTCCCTCCGTCAGTCTTGGAACATTCCATCAGCTCAGAGAGCATCCCACACCCTCTGGCCTCTGCCACCTCCCCACTCCCAGCCCAGCCCCATTCCAACCAACCACGAATCTACTCTTGGCCTTGGTCAGGCTGATTCCCTTTGGAAAGTGAAGAATGAGGTCCAGAGAAGCACACAAATCACCCGGGGCTGCGTGGCTGGAGCCTTGGAACCTGGCTCTCTCCGACTCCAGAACTCTGTTCTTCAACTGGGCCAAGGTGGCTGTCCAAAGTCACTACCAAGACACACTCTCCAGGGGAGGACATTTGTGAAGAATAAAAAAGGGAAGAGAAGACCATTAACAAGTTCTCTTCTCACATGAGTTTAGCCAGGAGACCCTTCCTGGTTAAACACCATACTCCACTGCAAGCAGAATGAAAGCCCAGCCTCTGAGCCAGTGTCTGAGGCTCTCCGGGGTGGTCTCTTCCTCTGTAGTCGGTGCTCAGGATCCTCAGAGCAGCTCCCCATGGGCCGGGTCCTGTCTCGAGGTCCCGGGGGCTCCGGGCTCCCTGGCCCCCGTGTGTCTTTGTGTAGACTGCCTCTTCTGTTTGCAATGCTCTGTCCTTCGCGTCCTTGTCATCCATCCAGTCCTCTAGAAAGCTTGACTCTCCTGCCTGCTCATTCTCTGGTTCATTCCACATATCTCTGCCTGCACCGGCCAAGGGAGGGGTCCTCAACAGGCCCTTCGGAAAGGACTTGAACCGAATTTTCGCCCTTGGCCGGACGCTGCCCTCAGTCTTTAGTGGTTCGTGCCTAGAATCTAGCTCAGGTCTTACACTTCTTTTACATTCCAGTACCTAGAAGACTGTAAGCCCCCCCTCCCCGTGTACATGTTCCATACATACCCACAGAGCACAGGTTCCATTAAGAAAGAAAGTGACATTTAAAAAGGCATCACCGTATCATTTATGAGACTGAATCTTCTTTCCAGCCTTCTTCATTTTCGTGGCCATGATACTGTTTGTGGGGAACACACAACCCAACCATCTCTCGGAAGCCCTGGCCCAGACGCTGTACCAGCAATATCCAGCAGCTGCCTACGGAAGAACGACCCACAGCTACGGTTACTCGTTTTGGCTAGCGCTGCTTGTCATTCTTCTAAGTATTGTCTCTGTGGTCATCATTGTTTTCTACCAGAAGGCCAGATACCAGCGAAAGCAGGAGCAGAGAAAGCCCATGGAATACGCTCCAAGAGATGGAATTTTATTCTGAATTTGATGTTATATTATTTTGTTATTAGGTCTATTCTATTGTACATCAGCTCCCAAGCAGTGACTGGCTCACTTGTCTGGGCAATCAGCAAGGTTAAGTGCGGCTCTGGCTGACTGTCATTTTGTGATAGTTTTGTATCTCATGACACTCCATGAATGATGTCACATTGCAAAGGGTTCTTCCCACTAAGGTGGGGACGACGAAGGGGAAATCTCTCCAGTCCACGCAGTGTTCAAAGTGGTAGAATGATTACGAGACTATGGACCCTCCAGACCCCGGTTTCACTCTCTAAGACAATAAAGGTTTGTGGTATGCACTTTTCCTTTAAGTAGCTCAAAGCACGTTAGCACCCGGGATCTCCTTCTCCTTAGGAGGGACCAGGTATTTTTATTCCACTGTATGACTGAAGACTTCCAGGTACAGAGAGATTCAGAACTCGTCTTTCCAGGACCAGGTATCGGAGGCAAAAGGTGGGCAAAAGTTTGGAATAAATGCCCTGGTCCTGTGGACCCCTGGTTGCTGACATAATTCAAACCCAGTAGTGGGTAGAAGTGCTGATATATGACCTTCAGACCCATTTTTGAGGTTCCAAGGGGCAGTTTTTGTATGGAAGAGACTAGGAAGTGAGAAGATTTAAGAAAGATAAAAATTATAGTCCTATAGCCTCCACACTAGGGAGGCCAAATGTATTTTTGGTTTAAAAGGATTGTGGTGAATTAGTCAAAAGGGAAATGTAACTTTGCAAGAAGTTCTAGGAACCAACCCTTTGCTGTTGACAAAGTATAGTTGGTCGGATGTGAGTGGATCAGCCATCAGCGGATTCCGGCCCAGCCAGAGGGTAGGAAATGGCCTAGAGCACTGGGCTTGCAGGCATTTCCAGAGTGAAGTCTGGGCAGATGGAGAACACAGATTTTGGGTTGCCCTCTAAGACCGGGTGGGTAAAATTGGTTCACAGACTCAAAAGAACACAATGGGCCACCAGGAGATTTTTGAAAAGATTCAGAATGGATTAGACCCACTTTGCCAGTAGGATATTCTTCCAGAAAATCCCTTTGAAGATCTTTTGGGCTTGAATATCCCACAAGTCAGCCAGGTTTCACATTGACAGGATTCTTAAATAATGACCCGACATGTCTTGATTGAACCAAAGTCAAATGGAGCAGAAATTTAGTGTAATTTACACTCTTAGTGTAATTTACAAAGCAGCAACTCTTTGGACAGAAAGATCTGCTTTATGAAGCTATTAGGGATTCACGACCTTCTTATCTACTATTTTTTAACAATCTGTCTTAGAGTTAATATTTTTCATTCAAGAAACGCCCATTGAATACCTATGATGCGATTTGCAGTGTGCTAACGCGGGTTCCTTCCATGGCAGAGCTTACTGTGGAGAAGTCAAGACAGGCATTCCAAGAGCAGCTGTTAAATTTCACATAAAACAGGGACTTAGTCACCAGACTGTGCTCATCCTCTGAAGGTCAGTCCTCTATAACCACCCACCCCAAAGTCAAGGTTACTCTAACAAATTAACTTACTGTGAAACTTTGAAGATATTAAAATTATGATTCTCGTGAAAAAAGTTCTAAATTCTTAGACGCTAAAAACATTGTTGTTCTTCGAAGTTTGCATTTTATATCAGATTTTGATAATGTGGACAAGTAATGGAAAAAGAAACGGGTATGGGTGACAAATCCATGCAAATGATCGCCGAGTAGGCAGGTGCTCACACCCCGTGTTAGTGCAAAGGACACTACAGGATATAAAGACCGCGCGTACTCACCTCAGAGTTTGAGCAGCACCTGGTTTCTTTAGGGGACAAACTATCTCTATCCTTATATCACAGATGACCTTTAAGGAACCATTCAGAACAGGAATCTGATATGGGGAAGTACGTTCAACAGTTCTGGAGATGAACAGCTTGACTGACTCTTACCGTGTCTGAAGGTAGACGCTAATGACACTGTGTGTGTGTGTATTCCCTAGAAATCCTGTTAAGGAAGAACAAAGTTTGCAGACCACTCACAGACATAGATGTGATTTGCTGTTCTAAAATTACTTCATAAACACGCATTACATTTGTTGTAGTGGAACCACACGAAACACCATTTTCGAAGTCTGAGCTATTCTGTGGAATTAGAAGTTTGAGCGGTCATAATACGACCCCTTAATTAACCCATGTGGTCTTATTTACGATGAGCTGGGTGACAAAGTTCATCCACATCTGCAAAATAAACAAATCATATAGAATATCGTACTCTTCAATTTTACAAGAACACAGGGTCTATGATGATAATTTTAGGGAAATTCATTCTTTACACTAATGTCCACGTGACTAGTGCCCCCCTCCCTCCCCAGTGAGCTGATGTTTGCAAAGTACGATGGGAGCCAGGGATACCCTCCAGGTACGCTTTGCTATCACTATTATAATTTTATTTGATCATCTCAACAAACCCTGTGGATTAAGCAGGGCAGGAAGAATTGTCTCCTTGGATATGACACTTTTCAGGGTCTCCATAGCGCTCCAGCAGCCAGCCCCGCACAGCCATACAGTAGTAGTACTCCTGTGAATGCCACGTGGCCATATATATAGGCAGACCTACCAGCGGCCTTGCGTCCTCTGGGGCAGCTCGGGCTCTTGGAAGCCCCGGGAGCGTGCAGATGCTGCAGAGGGCAGGCAGGCGCCAAGCAAGCTCCAGAGCGGGCTCTCCTGCCTGTACCTCGCCCGCCCAGTGACCCTCTCCCTCCTTCACTGAAACCCGCCACCGAGTGCAGACGGGGAGCCGGGTTCTTATTTGCCTGATCCGATGTCTTTCTGCAGCCTGAATAAGGATGGGGCACAGTTGCCTGATCCGATGTCTTTCTGCAGCCTGAATAAGGATGGGGCACAGTTGCCTGATCTGATGTCTTTCTGCAGCCTGAATAAGGATGTGGGCATGGCGTGTGTGGAACAGATGGTTCAGAGGCAGGAGCCTTTCTGATTCTGAAATTGCAGCTCAGAGAGACTGGTCCTTCGTCTCTGAGCCACACTGTGCTCTCCTGACCTCGGCACCCCGCACCCCCCCACCCCTGTGGGGGGGGCGGTGGGCACATCAATCCTTCAGCCCGGGGTGTGGAAGGCAGATTCCCTCCAGAGCAGCCCTGTTCCCCGTCCTCACCCCGAAACACCCCACCACCCGGGACGCGGAGATGCAGCTAGAAGCTCCATTTGCAAACTGCTCTGGGATCTCAGAGCCGGCCATGTCACGGCCCCTTCTGAGCCTCTGTTTGCTTTCCCATGACTAAAAAATAAAACGTAGATAATAGAAATGACAATTAGTGTAGGATAGAGAGGGAATTCTGGAGTCAGGTTGCCCGGGGTGGAGAAGCTACTTAACCTCCGAGAGCCTCATTGTAATCACCCGTGAGGTGGGTTGACAAAAGCAGGATTGGCTCTCAGGTTATGGGAAGGGACCCTGCCGAGGCGAGCAAAGGGCTCCTGGCCCTGGAGACCTGGCGGCCACCCTCCTCTGTCACAGACCCTTCCTACGTAAACACTGTAATCAGATCTCAAGGCGAGACATGCCACCACCCTTAGCTGCTGCAGGCCACATAATTTGTTTGCTTTGTAAATGAGCAAGCAACAAACCCCTTAGACCCAGGGAAGTTAATAAACTTGACCAAGCATCCGAAGCTGGCAAGTGGCAAAGCAGAAGTCGAAGCAGGCCTTGGACGCTTATTTGTTTTTGCCTATATTTGACTCAGTTCCACAAGCGTTGTTTGCATCAGGCTGGCGGCCCAGGCCTGTGGGGTGGGGGTGGGGGTGGGGCGCACGGGGACGACAGTGGGCAAGGAGCGTGGTCCCCACAGAAAGTGTGGCCTCCTGGGTGTGCCTGGCACATTTCACCGCATGTGTGAGTCTCACGGTGGCTCTCGTTCCCTCAGAACCAAAAGGAGCGCCAGGCTCAAGCAGAGGGTGCTAACCTTCAGCCGGGCTGGGTGCTAACCTGAGCTGGAGAGGGTGGGGTCTTAGTGAAAGGACACACCAGAGAAGCCGGCACATCCTGTGGCCAAGGGACTTTGTGCTCCTAAAAATAGAAAGAGGGTCCGATTACTCATGATGCCCAGGGTCACTGGCTGACTAAGGCTGTGCTCAGGGAGGAATTGAGATACGTGGGAAGCCTGACACATTACATGCCCCGAGTGGGAGGCCCCGAAGAATGCCCAGATTCTGTTCCTGTTCCGCATGCTCTTCCCACTGTGTGTTCTCACCCCGCCCAGACACTGAAGATGAATTACGCCGGCAGAGATTCCGACAACATCCTAGCTCCTGCTACAAGGAATTCGTGTTTGTGAAGGGCTTCAGATCGCAGCGAAAGCTTTCTTTTCAAAATGTTTCATTGTTTCGTAGGAAAGAAAAATGTAGATAGAAGTGCATTGCATTTTATGCCTCTGAGTTTTAAAGACACTGCTTTGTAAACGAACGCTCCTCCCACCGCCCACCTCACTCCTTACCGAGAGGGTTAGACGTTTAATGTTTAACCATGACCCTTTGTGAAATGCTCTGCTCGTCCGGTTATCTGGAAGCACGAAACTCCAACAAAATGTCCAATGGGCAAATCGCTCTTCCAGAAGGTGGAGTTGCTGCTTTTCTAGTTCTGAGCACAGCGACGGCGGAGCTCGCGGACGGCTGGGTTGTGGGTCTCGGGGCTCTGCCGGGAGGAGAGGCCACAGCAAACATGACCGTCTCTTAGTGTGTCCTCCCCTAAACGCTCTACAGGAGGTTTCATTGGCTCCTCACAGCAGAAGCATGGGCTGGTTTATAATTAATCCCATTTTTTAGGCAATTGGGAGAGACTGAGCAGAGATTCCATCCTAGACCCTCAGCCCAGGCCTCCTGAGAGGTACGTGGCTGGGACCAATAATCTTACAGGGGCACCACGCATGCATATGAAAGGGTCATAAAACGTCTCAAGTGCACCTGCAAGCATTAGACCTTGGCCTCCACTGGGCGTCCCCCAGGCATGTGACATTTGGGGTGAACTGAGTTTGCTGGATTTGCCAACATTTTAAATGGGTCATCATTCACCTTTTGATTAAAACTTTCACCATTTTCACCAGACAGTACACATTGTGTGTAATCTTCATGTATTTAAGATAAGACTAACCTCTTGTTGTTGGCCCCGTCACGGTTGTGAGTAGGGATTAAGTATCTATTAAAGCAGGCAGTATAGGACGGAAGGCACATGCTTCTGTGTTAACAGCCTGGGGT